GATGGTTTGGCGGGAATGAGGACTCACGGGATGATTCATGATTGCACTGTCCGTGAGGAAAGAGAAAAGAGGGAGAGATTTTGGTCTTAAAAGGATGGCACTGATGGTGAGAAAGTGGGTGAAGAACCACAAACAGAAAAATGGGAGGAGAGAAACTAATTTGGAGGCTCAAAATATAGAAGAGGAAAAAGTGAAGGGTTCCTATTATTTTGGAGCTATAAGGTCTCAACCAATCGCCGCCACCATGTAAGTAAACCTCCGCCAACCAAAGCCACGCCATTGGCCACCTTCTACCGGTGACTGCCATCAAGCTCAGCCTTTCCATTTTGCGGTAATCAGTTCATTGGTCACGGTTTTTGGTCTATGAATATTATTTTCTTATTTGTTATTTGCTCTTGTTTCTTAGTGCTAAGAAGAATAACTTCAAGTAATTATTGTGGTTGTGGGTTCGCTGTCCGCATTAGGTAGCTTTACTTCATTGAGATGGAAATTTTATATCATTCTTTCGTTATTAGTTTTTTTTTTTTCATTCATAGGCTGAAGGTAGCTTGTCACCAAATACTTTATTAAGTTAGTATTTAAAATAAAATAAGAAAGGAAAAAAGAATCCAATGCTTTTCTTTTATTCTTTTTGAAATCGAAAGCCTCCTACCTTTCGATGACAAAGTCGCTGCACATCTCCACTATTTAAAATTTGGGAAATACTTTTACGTCATGTGGTAAGAAAATGCTTAAGTTATGTTGTAGATACAACAAATGTAGAGTCCATCACTTTTTTTTTTTTTTTTTAAAAAAAAAAAACAATGGTGGGATTCACATTGAATATGTCTATAACATGACTTAAACATTTTTTGACATGATATAACTATTTCCCTTAAAATTTATAGTGCAACACCAAGAACCATTGTTTAAAGCATTTGGCTTTTGTTTTATTTATCTATGGATGTAAGCTTTGTCCTCTTAGTGAATATATTAAGGAACACTGACCAAAATGTCACTGTTCATCAAATTTTTTATCCAAATATCACGCGAGCCGTGTTATTTTTTAATATGTCACGTGAGCAAGTTCACTGGACATTGTAGCGAACTCAGTTTGCTGACGTGTAACGTTTCTAGTGGACACCAGGTACCAAATTCGCTACCTGAGGTAGCGAAGTTGGTTGCAATGCATAATTTTTATTTATTGCAACCAAGTTCGCTATCCCAGTTAGTGAACTTGGTGTCCACCAGAAATGTGACATGTCAGCAAAATAAGTTCGCTACAGTGCCCAATGAACTTGCTCACGTGACATATTGAAAAATAATATTGTTCACGTGCTATTTGGGTAAAGAAGAATTTGATGAACAGTGACATTTTGATCACAATTACATATATTAATTGGTTTTCATTTGCGCCGTAGAATAACCTTGGCCCTTCTTCTTTTTTCATGATATTTTTAGTTAAGTTGTATATGTTGCCCAAGACTCTAAATTTGGGCCGAAAGTTTATGACACTTGTTGTGTTATTTTATTTCATTTAAAAAAAAAAAAAAAACTTAACCATTAATAATTATAAAAACTAAAAGGACTAAATAATTTTAAATTTATTTTTCTTCCGAAAGAAATTAAGAACTACAAAGCCCAAAGATCAATCAGGGAGAAAGATTAAAGTGAATTGTTATGGTCCCATCGAGTTGTTTTAGCTCACTAGATTGGAAAACATACTCCACTGTTACTATTTAATAAATATGACCCAACGTCTTTTGGTCTAAAAGTTTGGCTGGACCCTCGTTTATTATTTCATTGGCCGAAGATATAATGTTAATGCTCAAATGAAACAGAAAAGGAAGAATTAGATTTCTTTAATAAAAAGGATACTTAATTCTGACAGCCTATGTTGCACCAACACCGATAAGGAATATGAGATATGACACGACACGATACTCTGACACGTTAATTCTAAAAATATTAAATTTTGACACATTAAGACACATTTTGATATTATATTATGTAGTGTATATTATATTTAATATTCAATAATTTAACAAAAAAATAAAGAAACTTATAATATCCATCAATTTTGCAAAGAAACATAAGATATCTCAAATGATTATATTAAACTCAATAAAATAGTAATTGTAATCCAACGAATCTAATAGTTGGAACTCAAAATGCAACGCAACTTAACCTTTAAACCTTTTTTGAGTCTTTGCAACAAGTATTGGAGTGTCGGGAAGTATCGGAGTTTCGGTAAGTGTCAAAAAGTGTCGGACACCCCACGTCAAAAATTTTAAAGTGTCGATGTTTCATAGCTGACGGCTTGTTTATCCTATATATCTTGTTTAGAGTTATTTTAGCTCTGACAGTTTGATGATTCAAAGCATATTTTAATTTATTATAAATTTTATATTAATATAATGACATTAAAATTAATTTATGTATAAATGGGTAATGCAGCCGTAACAGCTTGATGATCTAAAATTTATGTAAATCTATCATAAATCGTAATGATACCAGTAATGACATTAAAATCATTTTATTTTGTGGATGATTTAGCCATGATGGTTAGTCAACTCCTATTTTGTTTAGGATATTTTAAACTGTGACAGTTTGATGGTCCAAAACTTATTTTTAATTTACCATAAATTTGATAATAATAAAACATAATATTAAAATCACTCTATAATAATATCAAAAAAAAAAATCTCTCTATAAGAATGACTTGGTCGTGACGGTAAATTAAAAAGTAAGATTGTTTCAAAACGTTCTAAAAATTAAAATTAATTAACACATATATATTTTCTTAAGAATGATGTAGCTTTGAATTTCTCACTGCACCAATAGTATGTCGGAGTGAGATTTTTTCCATCAAGCTAAAATAAAAGTTTAATAATTTAGTTTTCTTTCTTCATAAATAATTCTATTTATCTTTTAAGGGATAAAACAAATATTTTTAAAATTAATAATAATTTGCATAATTAATTATAGGTAACCATTTTTTTAAATGGATGTGTCAAGGGCGAAGTAAGATTAATTTTTCACCATTCCCTACGCATAATTAGACTCAAGAATCTTGATATAAAATTTTAAAGACCAGTTTGCTAAAATAAAAGATTTTTCATTTTTTTCCAAATTAAATAAAAATGGTGGCGACTTCATGTTACTTCTTTTTATTAAAAAATAATTTCAAGTTGTTACAAGCATCCTTTGAGGAATATGTCATTTTTTATTCTTTATTTTAAAAGGAAAGACATTAGGTTGACTAGAAAATAGAGTCTAATTTGAATTTGAAAAAAGAGCAAAACATCAGAACTAATATAACATTTGGTAGTCTTTTGGGAATTGTGTCATTTTTTTATTTTATTTTTTTAGAGGAGAGGCGTTAGTTGGACTAGTAAAATTTTGTCCATTTTGAATTTGAAAAAGGAACAAAATGAGGATAAATTAGTATTTAACATTATCTAAAAGGGATGCTTTTTGTCAATGAGAATAAATTATACAATCTAGTGGTTTAAGCTTACTAAGGTAACTTTAATAACCTTTTTTCAATTTGTTAGTAATTAATTACTATATTTAGGGCATGATAACATGAACCTTTGAGGAATTGTATCATTTTTTTATTTTTTTATTTATTTAAAAGGAGGGGCATTTGGTGGACCAACAAAAACAGTCTAGTTTGAATTTGAAAAAGAAGCAAAACAGCTAAATTGGTATAGGGCTTGAATAACGTGTAGCAGCCTTTGAGGAATTGCGTCATTTTCATATTATTGTTTTAAGAGGAAAGACGTAAGGTGGACCAGTAAATACGATCTTGTTTGAATTTGAGAGAAGAGAAAAATAGCTAAATTGGTATTTTATATCATTAAAAAATATGATACTTGTTGGGTGTGTGGTCTCTTAGCAATCAATCAAGGAAAACTTATTCATTCCTAAGCTAATGACTCATTATGTAAATGCACGCATCAAGTAATAAATGAGAATTTTATTGCCTAGATTATCATTCCCACTTAGAAAGTATTGGTAAATAGTATTTTAAGGTATATTGAAGAATAAAAAGAATGGACTAATATTATTGAACCGTTCTAGGTACTCGTTCCCAAATATCATAGTGGTGTTCCCAGTATGAGAAAAGGTTCAAATTAACTTAAGCAATTCATCACATCGTTATATATTTATAGTCCTTCCTAATTTAAGAAGAAACGATAAATCATTGGAAAAGATAGTTGTTGTATAGTGTGAAACATTAACAATAAATGCAAAAAGCAATTTGAGTAATAACAAGGAGCAAGACTAGTGAAATGATAAGAGGAACAACAATTAAAAGAAAAGAAATAGATGCATGGATCCACTGTTAAACCAGTTGTAATCTAGGCTCAAGACCGTGTCAAATGGATTTGTTCAAGTCTCTTTCATTGCCAACGCTGATCTTTCAAATTTTTGGGCTAAAATGTCCATATTCCTATGGCAACTTCATTCTTAATAATTACTTAGTATAGAACCTTTAGTGAATGAGGTAATTCCATACTCCTAAAGGCTTTGATGTTGATAGGTTTATCAGATCGATTGTAGTTCTTACGACCTCTCCCCATAATGATTTCGACAACCCGACATGAGATAATATGCTTCAAAACCTTTCTTCAATAGTCCAATTCATTCTCTCAGCAACTCCATTCAATGAAGATGTTTTGTGAGCGTCTTCTCAAATCTTATTCCAGCCGCTCTACAATAGGCATCAAAATGGCCACAATACTCACCATCTTATCAGATTGGACTGCTTTCAGCTTCTTGCCAGTCTTCCTTTCTACCATAGCATGAAATTCCATAAAGGCTTGGATAACTTGGTCTTTAGAATGCAACAAATATACCACACCTTTCGAGAATGGTCATCATTAATAAAAATAAAATATTAAGCCCCACCGAGCGATCATTCTGACAAGGAAAAAATGTCAGCGTGGATGAGATCAAGAATGTACCTACGTCGTCTGGGCTGATATGGTCTTACAAAGGAAACCCATAGCTACTTTCTAGCCAGGAAGTGCATGCAACTCTCTAGCATTTGCCCTTTCAACCCAGATAACACACCTTTCTTGTTTAGGATTTGAAGTAATTTCTTGCTCATGTGGCTGAGGTGCTTATGCCACAACTCCATTGTTAGTCTGTTCCAGACAACATTGGCTTCTCCAATGTTTATTTGTCTTCCTTGCATCACGTATAAGAATCCTTCTTTCTTGTCTCGAGCAATCACCAATTTACCCTTGGCTGGCTTATGCCTTCAAGCACCAAAATAATTCACTGACACAACATTGTCTAATTTTTCCACCGAGATTAGTTGAGGCGTATGTATGGCACATGTCTAACCTCCTTCAACAGAAGTTGATAGCCGACATCCGTGGTCAGGGTCACATCACCAACCCCAATGATCTTGCTTGTGACGTGATTTCCCATCTTAACAATACCAAAGTCATCATTTTTGTAGGAAGATAAGAAATATTTGTGTGGAGTTACATGGAAGGATTTACTTGAATAATAATCCAGGCATAATCATCATAAACAACATTTAAATGTTTTTTCTCACCTAGGAGGAAGACCTCGACATCAGTGTTGGCAGCCATCACAGTAGTGCTCTTGTCTTCTTTCTTCTTAGACTGTATCTGGTCTGGCTTGAATTTCCATTCTCTAGTATTTCCTTAGAGTTCGGCAGTCAGGCTTCTTATAACTGAGATTCCCATAATAAAGCAAATTAATTCATCCTTTGGCCTAGACCTACCTCTTGATTTGTCATGACCTTGGCTTTTGCTTCTGGCCCAAAAGTGAGACATTCCTCTATTCTCAACAATATTGGCATCGGACGTGCTAGATACACCTCTTTCTTTCTTCTGGACTCCTAACTCCAAAGGTTGTCAGTCATAGAGTTCATTATAAGGTGCCCATCGGGAGTTGAGTTGCTCAAAGTCACTCCCCACGTGTAACATCTCGGATACTAATGATTGCACGGTTAGTGGAAGAGCTAATGTGCAATCAAATGTATGGTTAGTGGAAGAGTACTTAATGTACAATGTTTCAACGGAAGGGGTACATGAATGAATCGAATCAACACCCGAACAAGAGGGATCTAGAGATTATGCAGGTATGAGACTGTACAATTTAGGATCACTGTAAGAATTAATAGGTACTACCTATACTAACAAGATGCATCTACTTTTCAGTAGCCCACAACGAAAGAACTCCATAGTTAAGCATGTTTGATTTGGAGCAATTATTGGATGGGTAACCTTTTGGGAAGTTTATCAGAAAATGTGTGAGTGGGGACAAAGCACGCTAAAAATTCTTGTGTTAGTTTGTGGTGACAATCATTGTTCCTGAAATTTATCGGACGTTACACAAGGTATCCCAACTTTCTGGTAGCAAACTGAGGAGTAGCAGAGCTTAGAGCTCATAATCTATTTTCATTTTGGCTTTTGACAGTTGAGCCACAATACCTTTGTATGTGTTGAGGTGTTCTATCATGCTTAGTCGTCCTTGTATTCAAGCTTCACAAGTCGGCGTACCAGGTGCGCTTTGTTCCTGGGAATCTTCTTCTAAAGCATGGACTATAACTTCCTCCATATATAGCTTGTGTGCATTGGTCAAATGTGATACGTGTTCAAAGAGGCTTTTTTCAATATACTTTCTAATCATGGCCACAACATTTTTGTTCAAGATATCCCATTCTTTTTCATTCTTACCTTCAGGCATCTTAGCATTGAGGATGGACTCATACAAGTCTTTGTAAAAGAGATGATCTTCTATCATTGGACTCCAGTAAGTGAAGTTATTGGCTGTTAATTTGAACATGTCTTTGTCATGGGATATTTTGCTAGTCTCCATCTTGTCTAGTCAAAACCCTTAGAGCTCGAGCTCTGATACCATTATTGGGACGGGGTCCCTCAATCAAAGCGGAGGCAAAACACAGGTCATCAAGTGAAGCACCTGCTTGGTACTTGGAAGTCAGTCTATAGTTGTCAGATCGGACCAAACACAATAATAAAAATGTAAAAGTAGAGATGGAGAGAAAAACATACAATAAGTTTTAACGTGGAATATCTCCCCTAATGCAGAGGAGTTAAAACCATGGGACCTAGTCTAGAAAATTTTCCACTACGAAAGTAATGGGACTACAATTGTCAAACTTCCTTAGTAGCACTAAAGTTCTTTCTCAAACTTCACCAACAATGGTGGTTACAAAGTTCTTCTCTAAATAGGTCACTCAATCAAACTTGTCTTCAGAGGATACTCACAGGCTCTAAGCTAACCCTTTCAAAGGGTTTTTCTTATCTATATATAGAGGTGAGATGAAACCCTGCACCTCATTCTAGAATCTTCCTTAATAATGAGGTATGTACTATTTATTGGAATGATTTTTCAAACATTGAGCCATGCACCAATAAATGCAATGCATGCTCAGCCACCAATCATTAATGGAAGAACACACCCCAACAATAGCTAAAGTGTCTCCCTATACAATGATATGTCTATTGCCTAAGGCCTAAGCATACTCTAGCCCTATCAAGACACCTTTTACTTCAACCATTAAAGATTTGCATATTCCTATTCCACCTAAAAATTCACCTAACCACTAGCCTTTATTATTCCGCAAAATGCCACCACAACCAACCTTCATTGAAGTGGTATGCATTGCCTCATCAAAGTTTAATTCAACCCATGATGCTTAGGGTTCTTGCCAAATTATTTGGACAACGTGCTAAAGGGGTTCCTGATGATTAGAATTTTGTATTTTCACCCTTTCAAACCGAATGAAGGATATATAATTAGCAATAATAATGCATGGTTGAGTAGATAGATCTCATATAATTATCATCATGATTGGCCAAATTCCTCCACTACCAAAGATACTGACATGTGACCCCAAAGCATTGATTTAAATCTATATTCATTTTAAATTATATAATATCAATCTTTGATAAACATAGTAAGCAAAACATTCATTTTAAATCTGTGAAAAGAAAAGTATCCATATAAATCAAATATATATCCAGCAAAGAAAAAGTACATAAATTAGAACAACCCTACAATTAATTAGGGTTGGCAAAACGGGCCAACCCGACCCAACCCGCGTTCAACCCGAAAAAAATGAGCTGGGTTAGGGTTGACTCGAAAAATAAACGAGCCAGAAAACTCAACCCAATCCAACTTGAGCCGGGTTAGGGTTGGCTCGAAAAAATAGAAAAATAAAATAAAATTCCATTGATGCTATAACTTCTACATTTTTTCCTAAATTATTAATTCATTCAATAGAAAGACATTATACAGATAAACCAGAGAAAATTCCTTTTGCATTTGGACTTGGACTTATTGGCAGTTGGCACCACATTCACACTGTCACACATACTATAAAAAAGGTCCTTAATGCATGTTGCGACTTGGCAAGTGCACCAGTCGTTAAGTAATAAAGTGTACCGGAGTACGAGATCATTCCCATGAGGATCGGATTTTCAAACACTAATTCGCTAATTGCGGTTTAGTTGGACAATCAAAGTTTAGATGAAAAGAATTGGAATTGAAAAGAATTAATAACATGCAATTTAAAATTCAGAATTAAAAAGCAATTGAAAATATGATTGATTAAAGATTTAAAACAAGCGTAGTTAGAGTTTCGGCTTCCCCCAATATCCTTGTTATGCTATGAATTAAACGGTCAAGAATCTACTCTTAATATATTGCCAATCAATTCTTTCTAAGTTAATTAGGGCTCAATTCCTTGTTACCTTAAATATATGTGATCTTGAAAGAACTCTGGTTCCCCGATTATTCCCCAAGAAAACATGCATTAAGATCAAGAATTTAAAGATTGCACAATTGCCCTATGTCTATCCCTAGATCACAAGGATTATGATGAATTTATCAAATCAGGGTTCATGCACCAGCATCCCTATTGTCATACAATTCCCTTAAATCAATTTATAAGGAGCAAACTCATAGAAAGCATTAAAAAACAGATAAATTCATTCAAATATAGAAATAGAAGAATTCAGAGACAATTTAATTCATAAACATAAAGATTCAATTGGGTTCCATCTACCCTTAACTACATAAAAACTTAGCTTAATATATTGAATTGAAAAACAATAAATAAGAAAAGAGAACCCCAAGTCTCCATTGGTGTGATGTTGACTTGGTTCCTCAGTGCTCCAACGCTCCGCAACAGGATTCCTCCTTCAGGTTTCTGTGTAATTCTCTGGATTGGCGAATTGGTCTCTTTCCTTGACCCTCAGCTTCCTATTTATAACCATTGAAGCCATATCTTTTTAATTCTCCATCCAATATCCCCATGAATCTCTATCAATTAATAAATCAAGATTGATTTCTTTCCGCTTTTATTCAGAATATTACAAATCTGTATCAATTAGCAAATCAATTCAAATCTTGGCCTGATTGGGTTCGTATTTGGGCGTTCAAGCGCGCTACAGGGCACTTGAGTGTCCTCTTGTGCACAAACTTAGGAATTCTGCCTGCCCACACGCGCTCGAGCATCCAACTGTGCACTCGAGCGTGCTCCTCGATGGTAAGTTCTTGTAATCTTGGGCGCTTGAGCGTGCTAGTGGGCGCTTGAGCGTCCTGGATTGCTCAAATTAGCTGGTTTCCCTGCCTAGACGCGCTCGAGCGTCCATTCTTTGCGCTCGAGCGTGCTAATCTGGCCCTTGACTTGTAGTATTTTGGCCTCCTTTGGTTCATATTGAGCTGCAACTCTTTGTCATGATTTCTTCATCACTTCTTAGCACCAACAAGTGTGGTTTTACCCTCAAATTGCAAAGAAAATCAAAACGTCAGCTCAATTTCCTATCTTATGATTTATGTGTTGTAAAAACTTGAATTCCATGCAATCTACCATATAATTCTCATATAATTAAGCCTAAAAATATGGTAAACCAAAGGTTTATCAATGCACGATTTTGGACTTATTGGCAGCTGTAGGGTATTTTTGTTTGGGTCTTTGGAATTGGGATTTTAGGTTCCACTTTACCTTCATTAATTTGTATACTTTTATATTAAAAAAAAAACCATAACCCGTTAGCCAACCCGTTTGACCCGTGGGTTGGCTCAGTTTTTTTCGAGCTGAAACGAGTTAAGCTGACTCGAGTTACTAACTCATTTTTCCTAACCCAACCTGGCTCATTTTTGCCGGGTTACGAGCCAACCCGATGGGTTGGCTCATTTGTGCCAAGCTTACAATTAATCAACCAATTCATATTAATTGTTGTTAAAACAATTAACCATAAATAATAGTGTGTTTAAAATTTTTACATAAGAATTAAACTGAAACAAAATTCTTTTGTTTGCTAATAATTGCCAATCAACTCAAGTTATCCCAATTTTCTATGGCAACATCTGTAACACCCCCTGCGAACCCAAAATATTAATATACATATGATATTAAACATGATAAGTTTAAGTAATTAAACGCGGAAGCTCTCTTTTGCTAATTCACTACCCAGTCTAATGTAAAAACGTGATTAATTTTTCTTTTTCCTCATGTATTGCAAATTCCTTATCGTCTCTTTAGTCAAAATAAAATGAACGATATTTCGTCTGTATTTTAGACCACTAGGGATAATTCCCACCATGACAATTCCAACCTGATTAACAGTTTAATATAATTTAAGCATACATCATATTACCTAGCCATCCTCTCCAAAGCAATGTCCATAATATTACTTATATGATTACATATCAACTACACAAAAAAGATGTAATTAAATAAGTAACATAGATATGTGCAATCATCAATAATAACATATACAGATTATCAACATGGCATATATAACTCAAAATAATAACATGTCATATAAATATCAAAATAACAGTCAAGCGATGACTATCATGTCAAATAGTATCTCTCCTCCGGCATCTTGTCGTGAGATGCCTCAGCACCATCAGCTACTGTATCTGAAATGGTAATTCCCATAACGCAGAGTGAGATAATCATCTCAGCAAACTAGGAGTCTTTGGAGGGCTCCTCCACCCCCGAGTTCACTTAAGGCAAAAAACAATATAAAAATTATGTATGGATCAGAATATGTATATCAATGAATGTGTGCAATAATGAATCATACTGGCCAGAGAATACAACATGTATGTGTTACGCAAGAAAACACCGTCTTGTGTGGGACACAGACATACATACATATACATGCATCATTATATCAATTTATTTACAACATACTATATCAAAGAACCATCATCTCTCAGAGTCTGGTGGAACAAATAGGGGATTAACGATAAGGACCGAAAGATTACCTGTCAAGCACTGTCCTCCAATGCACTCCTTATATTCAAGGGGTCACAACCACAATCTCTCAAAATATCACAACATATTCCAAATATGTGAAGACAATCAATACATATATACTAGTCTACCACATTCAATTTCCAAGACTACACATACAAGACACCTACACTTGATTTTGAGTCCAATTTATCAAAGTGTTCTAAATGATGATTTCATAATTTTTCCTTTTACGGGAACTAATCCCAAGCATGTTTAACAAAAGGACTCACATACAAATCACCCTCTAACTACTCAAGCCATCAAATTTTTGAAATTGACATATAGCCAAAAACCATGATTTTCTATGGTGAGCTAAATGGTGATTTCTTTTGTTGTCTTTCATCAAGAAGCAATCCTAAGGATATTTAACAAATAAAGCTATATCCAAATCACTCTCTAACTATCCATACCATGAATTTTTGAATTTTACTATTCATTCAACATAGATTTCTCAAAATTTCATGAAAACTTGATTTGAGTGGTGAAAACTGACCACAAATCCTACAAGGATCCTTGGATGAAGTTTTCCCAAGTACCAATGAGCTCAAACTCTCTCAAAATCCTCAAACACCCTTTTTGACCTAAGCTTTTAAGGAGAAATATCTTACTCACCAATGCTTCTTACAAAGGGATGAGGTTTGAGCTTTGTTAAGGAGAGGATTCTAAGCAATTTTGCTTTTGGAACCAAGTGATTTCGTCAAGTGTAGCTCCACCTATGAATTTCAAGTTTTCTTTCTCTATGAAAATGGCTTTTCACGGCTTATTGGGGAAGAGAGGTCGATGGAAGTGTGATTTTGTGGCTGAATGAAAGTCAGTTAAGTGAGTTGTATTATCCAAGTGGGTATAAACTTATTTATCCTATTCACTTAACTCTTCTTCAAACTTTACACATTGACTTATATTATTTTTGCGGTAATATTCATTATATTGTTTTTAACTTTCGGATAACTTTGTCTATTCGCATTTTTACCTTTAAACTGTCATTTTTAACTCGTTTTCACAAGGTGACTAATTTATCTAATTAGACTTATCCTCTAATTAATTCTTCACTAATTACTATTATTCCTTAATAAATTTGTAAATTCATTATTTACAAGCTAGGGTCATTATAACATCTATGTTAAAGAAATATAAAAATATTAATGTAGCCTAACCTAATAGATTAATCCTTTATAGGGATTAACATTTCTCATGTTATAGGAAACAAAATTTATTTCCTTCACGTACATAAAAGTGTGAGACCCATGTGGGGCCGTGTGTGGAGAAGAGAGAAAAAAAGAAAAGTTGGGTCCCATACACTTTTATGTGTGTGTAGGAAATAAAATTATCTCCTATAACATGAGAAACATTAACATTAACCCTTCTTTATATGGTATCAGACCTCCGTGACCACTGGTCAAAAATTCGATTATTACCACCCCTATTCTATTATAAAAAATAATTAAATATTGAAGAGTTTCTTCATCCATTCTTCAAGCCCAATAGACTTATATGTGAGGGAACGTTAGGGAAATATAAAAATATTAATATAACTTCATTTAATAACTTAATCTTATGGGGTGAAATGATTATATCATTTGCCGCCTTTGACAAAACAGTTTAGAAACGGAAATGCATCTATTCATTGAGTGCCTTAACTCCAGCGTTATGGTTCACATTCCTCCGATGCTTAGAGTTGATGTTATTGCCCAGATGACCATAGGGAAGTTTTAACTTTTAGAGCCTGTTTGGAGCACTTGATAAAGAAGATAGGATAAGATAATTTATCATATCCTATTTTTATCTCTTGTTTGGTGGATTAATAGGATATGATTAGCTTATCCTATTGTTTCATTTTATCCTATTTAATACATGATTTATTATCCTATGAGGCGAGCTGAGTTATGATTCAACAGGATATGATACTAATATTGGATACCCAATATATCCCCACGCTATCTAATATATCCTCTCGCTACCTAATATATTTGTTTTATTGCATTATATTTTATTTTTCCTTCTTTCTCCTTTCTCTTTCTACATAATCTTATCATATTGCTAATCAGGTGCTCATCAAACACAGGACATGATATAGGCTTATCAGCTCCATATCATATCCTACCCTTATCACCCCATATCATATCCCACCCTTATCCTATCATGTCCACCAAACAAACCCTTAACGTTTATCCTTTGGCAAATTTGGAAAGGAAGAAATATGAGTTTCAATGGAATATGTTGGAATGAAAGGTTCATATCAAAACGTCCTTTTTGTTGGAATGAAATCATGCGTCCAATGGGGTTAGTATTTATTGAGTATTTGGACTAGTATATATTAAGTGCCAACGAATGCTAGCTCAATTGATATGATTAAATAGTAATTCACAGCAATAAGTAGGTCAGTTGTGACTATAGAATGGGATAACCTCCTTTCTCCCTAAATTTATTTTATCAACAAGAAAAAGAAATTACTTTAGCTTTACACTCTTTTTCATAATGAACAAAACTTGTAATTAAGCAGAATGGCTGCTTAAATAGAGTTACTACTATTACATGCTTGGAGTATTCATATAGCACTTCTTTTAACTATGTCTCCACATTCTACGCGTTTTATTTTGCAGAACCAAAAAATACGAAATGCCACTTGATGATCATCACAATATAAGATCTGTTCACATAGTTTACCTATCCTCAGAGCACACTTCTTTCTGAGGAGGAAACTTACTAGTTAGTTCTTCCCAAAACTCCACTTAATTGGTAAGAGATACAACTTATCTTGCAAACACCCTTTCATTAAAGTTCACTCCATGGTCATTTTAGTTACCAGAATCTCTATAATCTGAAGGTGGATGTTTCAATCTCTCAAATATTTCATCAAGGGATTCAAATGAAGAGTGTGATTTTAGAGTGGATTCCTGAACATTATCAAGAGGAAAGAATCTCTTGGAGTCAATGTTAGATCTTAAACTTCTAAATCCATGCATCATTGATTCCCATTTTGAGGCTAATGCAGATGATGGTGCTGAATTAATGTCCTCAGAATCATTAACATCATTTGTCAAAGAGGAAGAAACTCTTTCCAGGGAAGAATCTTTGCTGGACACTCGTTCATTCAGGTCTGTCCTTAAGGCTGCATACTTTTTGCTGCCGATTTTTCTACTAATGTCACTATTAGTGCCTTCATTTTTGGCCTCCACTATATTGGTAGTGTTAAGTTCCCTGGCACTCTCATCCAGAACCTGAACAAGGAAGAGAGGGAAAACTAGCCTTGTGATAGTGTCAGGCTACTTCTACAAATCTTTGTTCACAAGAGTTATTGGGTGGCTATTCTTGGTTCAGTGGTGAAAGTAATCTTAACTTCACATTGAAAAATATTTAGTGACCAATATAAATAAAGATAAAAGTATATATTCTTCTTAAAAGATACAAACTTAGGTCCGTTTAAAAGAGAGATAGATATAAAGAGGTGTGGGGCCCACTAAAAAAAATAAAGGCGTGAGTCTCACTTCTTTGTGTCTATCTCTCTCTTAAAAGGATCTAAGTTTGTATCTTTTAAAAGGCACACACTTTTCCCATAAATAAAAGATGAAAAATTGAGTGAGACCAAAATGCCAAAGAATTTTAAAATTGGCACGGTTTCAAAGATTTTAAAAAAGAAAAATTATCAAAACCAGTTGTTTTATATACGTACCGTAGTATTGCTGGTGGACTCAACGTCCATGCTGAAACTCCTTGCTAAAGGGAAAACAAGTTCACCAACTTTGTGCCCTTGCTGGAGAAGAGAACGCTCTGAGGAGAAAAAATAAGGTAAAAATTGGGATGTTATGGATGTAACACAGACATGTGTTACATTTGTATCATTTAGGATTTTTTTTTTATTAAAGAAAAAACAATATCATTTAATGTTTTAACCACAGAACATTGCCAGAATTTACAAGAATAAGAACCATTACTTTATTTTTGACAAAAATTGTTTGTATGGTTTCCTTTAGTCACTAATCCTTATTGTTTTCTAAGGAGATTCCACTGAAAGGTGGAAAGCTTTTTCATTTGTGATATATATATTAACTTTTCAATAAATTTCTTCTTTTTCTATCCAAAAGAGATTGTCTTTAAACATACTGCAGGCTATGAGACTACTTGAACATTATAAAAGGTCAATTAGTTTTACGCCAAAAAAAATAAAATAACATTAACTAGAGTAACTCACCTTTCTGCAAGATTATTACTCCAGATGAGTCAAATCCATCCATATCTTCTGCATCATCATTAAACTTGAATAATTTCCAATTTCCACAATACTTGATGACCCGGTTAAAAAAATTGCCTGCTATTAGTGAAGTGTATATAACCATTATGAGGGGGTAAATTTTGTTGAATCCATTCCCAAAAAAAGGAACAGCATCATCAATGTTTCCCATCCTCTGCACGAAAAATTTGAGTTTAAGACACGAGTAAATATCAATCCTTGGGAAGAGGCAAGGAATCTAATTTGCAATGTTTAGCTGAGTTCAGGGTAAATCTATCACAACCGGGGCCTCCAAACACTATGCAGTGTTCATTATAGATATACACAAAATAAAATCTGATGTTATCATTGTTGTGGTTGTTTGATGGAAAGACACCTTAAGAATTCTTTCTGCTGTGACCTTATGTTGATTTATTACTCCAACAGGCACACAAGTTAGTCAAACCATAAGGTTACAGAGAAATAGCTTGCATCAATTATGACATACTTTACTATCTCCATCAGCAAGGTTTTATCCTATTATTATGCACATTATTTTATATAATAATGTCAGTCATATGGACTAGCTAGGAACACCAGTGATTAACTACAACATCATAATTGCAGCACAACAAATTAAGAACCAAACAGTAGCAAAATACTTTTTCAAAAATGGTTCTCGCATCCCCACCAAGATTAATGAGATTGAGAAAGTTGTACGAAATTGGTGCTGCATATCTTGCAACCATCCTATAAAAAGAAGTGAGATGCAAAGGCAAATAATTAAGAATAATTATAATACACACAAATGACCAAAAATATATATTAAAAAAAAAGAGTGAAAAACTTACGAGCATATCATGAGCAAGCTTACTGAGCTTGTTTGTCTAGGTGTCAGTGAGTAAAACATCATCATTCCCATTTTAAACAAGGAATAATATGTACAAATACACATATACATCAAGGGGATGGAAGCAGCTAACTGGCAAAAAATCCAACAATCAGTTTTGAACAAGTTGAACAAAGAGAAATATAATAATTTTATGCATGAGTAAAAATAAATTGCAGCTAGTTGCCTAAACTGTAACTTTTAATGCATGTTTCTTCTTTTCCATTGGAGTTTTCCTGCCTAATAGCTCTGCAAGTGGTTTTGCTGGCTAATTATTACTAAATAGGCTTGTACAAATCAGAATAGTTCCCTTCTACAATGAATATCAATAATTTGAACTTCTAGATAACCTCACTTCTATGAAGTTAGTTGTTAATGGTGTTTAATTACTAAGAAATGAATCAATCTTGATTATGAGATTTAATTAAAAAAAAATATAGCCTTAATATAAATAAATTAAGAAAAAGGAAAACTTATTTCAAAGAAAATGACTGCATTGGAACTGGTTTACAAATATTACCTGCACAAGCATCTCTTGGTTTCCTGCAGCATGTATTAGGATAGAGAAGAGAGATAAATCAACACCACTGGGTAGTATGGTAGCCTCTGCTAATAGAATTGCAAATGACATGCAGCCCAATATAATAGCCAATGATTTCTGAAGCTGTTTCCTTAATATACATCGCCATAGAAGCTCTGTGATAAATCAACATTTCAGGCAGATATAATTGGTGTATTTAGTATCTAATAAGAAAAATTTGTGAAAAGCTAATTATAATAGCCCTAACCAGTAAAATAAATAATTAAGGATTATTTTGGTGATAAAAATAGTAAAATTGAATTAATAATAAAATTTTGAGAATATAGACATTTTTGGGAAAAAGTGTGAATAGTAAATCTTATCGGGTAAAAATCCTACCGTGTAATTTTACCGGAAAAGCTTAGAAATAAGATTATTATTGTAGAAATTAAAAATATGCCAAACAAGTTATTTAGCACCAAGAAAACAATTATAAGAATTATTTGGAGTCGAATTATAATTTTGAAAAAGTTCAGAGATCAAATTGCATTTGCGCAAAAATTGACCTCAACTCAATTTTGTTACCGCAATATAACTAAGGAAAAATTACATACGATAACTTTCTTTCCTACACACTCTTCGATAAGTGTATCATTTTTTTTTTCTTTTCTTTTTATTTTCAGATGGTGGAGCCCACAAATTTATCTCTACAACATGAGATAACTTATCTCCTTTAACATGAGATTATTAAAACTCTATAATTAACTAAGAGATTTGATGACATGAAAATAAAATTGATTATGTGGAATTAAGTGAGTTAAGCTTAATTAATTAATGTGCAATTTTTAAAATTTTGGGTCAAAGTTAATTTGTCAGGGTTTAACTGTGTTAACATTTCCCTCACTTTCTCTCAACAAGCATCGACCCCTCCCTCTCAAACTGACCAGCAGCGCCCTTTTCCTCCATTGAAGGAGTGCTCAAGCTTTCCTCTTCCATTTCTAGCTTAAACACTTGTCATGGAACTTGTAGCTTAGGTTGCAGGGAGTAAAACCCATAAGCCCATTCATGCTGGGAAGCACTTTAGAGTGAGATCCTCCCCTCCTTCAAGCTCGTGGTACTGTTAATGGGAGGCAAAAATATTGAGTTTTGATGGATTCCAAGCATGAAGATTGGTTTCCTCTTGGTGTAGGACTTGTTTGAGGTAAGGAATCCTACTTCCTATTGTTGAATACTTGAGTATGAACTTAGGGTTTTCATGAAAATTATTATGGAATTTTTTATGTTGCGGGAGTATGAATGGTAGGGTGTATGTTGATGGAATATGTTCATCTAAGATTGTAGATTATATAAAAGTAATTAAATGTTGTTAGAAGTTTAAAAATCCTCTTGAATCCTTCCATGAGATTTTCGGCATTCAAGGGGAAATTGGGGGGCTAAATATGTTAAATGCATATTGAAGATGTCTTAGACTTATTATATGTTGAGGTGTTGACTTAGAAGTGATAAAAACCTTGGAAAACATGAAAATGCATTGGGCCTACTTGTGTGTGTGTGCCTTGGCCTTGTGAGGAAAAGAAGGTGAGGAGGTGTTTTTAATTGTCATTTGATAAATGTGAACCTTGTGAACTAATCAATTGAACCATGTGAACCTAATGAACCCTTGTATGTATGCCTCGGCCTTCAAAGGGCAGAAACAAGATGTGGTTGTGTTTTAGGGTTATTTAAATGATAATTATGACAAGTTGGCTAGTTTGAAGTAATTGAACTAGCTAATGAGGTATTTGAACAATGTGAACCCTTAATGGACCTTTAGGTCATCATTTTGGACAATAACTTGTGGAACAAGTAATTGAATTTGTATACTTGGCATAGGGGCTAATGATTGGTCCTTGTGTAATTCGATGTCAAATGAGTTAGTTTGCAACCAATTGAAGACATTAGAAATTGATGGAAACCTAGGTGTATGATTCGACAATACCTAGGGAAATTATGTTGAAATTGTAGGTTTGATACTTTGAATGTGATGGGTTGCCTATCGCACATTGCCTAGATTAATAAGTCAAGTTATTGGTTAATTGAAGTTTGAAAGGATTATGGTACCCTTAAGAGCATGGTTCGGCCATATGGGGCTTATTAGGCTTGAAAGCTTAAATAAATGGTAATTGATACCTAGGAAGTATATTGTATCATTTCAAGTGTAAGTAAGTGTGTAGAACCAAGTTGGTTGCTTGGCCAAGGCCAACAAGAAATTACCTTATATGGTCCTATATGTTAATTGTAAAATAATTAATAATGACTTGTGGTTTGGCATATGTATTGGCATGAAAATATAGGAAATAAAATTATGACAAGATTGAAATGGCATTTAACCAATTGGAATGTCACATGTGAAGATTAAGGAATCATCAAAGTGTTGATGTCTTGTATGTAATGCTTGACATATAACCTATATGATGATTAATTGGTTTTGATTCCTGTAAATAACCACTTCAACCCAAAATCTTAAGGTGTTAGGTGATGAGCCTTTTAAAGATTTATATTAATCTCTAACACACCCCCTCAACAAGAGTCCTTTGGGCTTGAAGCGTGGATATTGCACAGGCTCAATTTTTGGTTTACCTTTTTTGTGCTTTGATTTAATTCCACTAGAAAGTGGGGGGCGGTGAGGATCGAACTCGTGACCTTATGGTCATTCAAGCTCTGATGTAAATAACCACTTCAACCCAAAACCTTAAGGTGTTATGTGAGGGTCTTTTTAATAATTTATATTAATCTCTAACAATTCCTAATCTAGGTTTGTGCCTAGAGATACTGAGTTGGAGGATCAAGTCTTGGAGGGAAGTATCTAGCTTTCTTGTAATACAAGTAAGCGCTTTTTGGGAGCTTCAAGAGGTAAGCTTCCGGTTTAGGATTTTTCTTCTCTTTGCTTGTTCCACCATGATCCATTGGGATTGTGGGCTCTGATATGCTCTGCTAAGATGAATATTAGAATTTAGTATAGTTGTATTCATATAGAAATATACCTCTGATACATGATGTGTATATGATATGATCAGTTATGTATGGATTTTGGTTTTTGGCCAATGAACATATTTTGTTACCTTCCGTGAGAACTGCTCTCGGAGGCTCTATTAACTTCTTGAGGACTTTGGTTCTCGGAAGTCTCTATTACCTTCCGGGAGGGCTTCGGTCCTCGGAAGATTTTTTTTCCTCTGTGAGGACACATGTTCTTGAAAGACTCTGTTGGGACAATCCGAGGGAGAATTTAAGCTCCCGGATGTTTTCTGATGGTTATTTCTGTATTATGTTATCTGTACTTTGTTCTGACATTTCATGCAGGAAAGTGGACTTATGGGTGGAGATTATTTCATAAACCCTGAGTTTATTGAGATAGTAATCTAACCCCCCTTTTCGGGACATGTTTCAGGTGTGCCGTCAGCTATGAAGCACCGACACTTCAAAAACCTCGACGTGTCGTGTCCAACACTCTTAGACACTCTGACACTCCCCGACACTTCAACGCGCGTTGTAGAAACTCAAAAAGAGGTTCAAAGGTTGGGTTGCGTTGCATTTTTAGTTCTAACTATTAGATTCGTTGGATTACTATTACCATTTTATTGAATTTAATATAAATATTTGTGATATCTTATGTTTCTTTGCAAAATTAATGGGTATTATAAGTTTAGCTTTAATTTTTTTGTTAAATTATTGAATATTAAATATAATATACACAACATAAATTAAAAATATCATTTAATATCAAAATGTGTCCTAACCATAGTTGTCAATAGCAGTTAGCAGCCAGTAACGGCCGACCCCGAAATGGTATAGCGGTGTAGCGGGTAGCGGTATTACCGCTACGGTGAAGTATTAATTCCACATATATTATACTAACAGTCAAGAAACAAGGCAATATCGCTTTTAGTATTAATGCTCAAACATAAGAAGTCACACAAAATTAAACACATAATTCCACAATCAATGTCAAATACAAAGAACATAAAGGAAGTATCCAAAATTAAACACAACTGAACAATAAAATTGTCAAATAGCCAAGTACAAGAAGTGAACTAATAAAGAAAATCATCATCATCTTCGGATTCTCCATCAAATTCCAACATGGGAGTGGTGTAGCGGGGTAGCGGGTGTAGCGGGTAGAGGTATTGCTGCTACGCTACGCCGCTACCTTCCGCTACGGCCAATGTCGCGTAGCGTCGCGGTTTGTAGCGGCCGACCGCCGCTACCCGCCACGGTAGCGGTTTAGCGGCACTACGGGTCGCTACTGAACCTAGGTCCTAACGTGTCGAAATCTAACTTTTTTTAGAATTAACGTGTCGGAGTATCGTGTCGTATCGTGTCCTGTGTCGGTATCGGTGCTACATAGGTCGTCAGCTGGAGAGCCCTCACGGGCAAAGAAACCTGCCTAGGGTTAGAGGAGCAACTGGATTTAGTATTTTAGTACTTTCCTTTTGGGGATTGTATATATTTATTTTTGGGACATGATGTATGACCACGATTTGTATATGGCCTATATCATTTTGATATATTTATTCATACAAGATGTATGTATATTTTGTATCTCAGGCATATGTGTATGTATTTATGCAGTTAGATGCATTTATTAGTAATATGTATATGATATGTACTGTCAAACTGATAAAATGTGTAGTGGCACAGAGCCAATAGATGAATGAATCCATGGATGGGTTCTAAACACTTTGAAAGGATTATTTGTTACATGAGACTGTCCTGGACTTTTCTGATTGGCAGGATGTGATTAAAAAGTGGGATTTAATTCCCTGGATTGTCTAGTTTACAGCGGAAATGTTGTTTGTGTGACTCTGTCAGGGTTGGTACTTGTGATCGTACCCTAATGGTCTTTGACCATTGCTTATGGTTATAGGATTGATAAGTTAATAAGAGGATTGTTGTATTGGTATGGGATATACAATCAGATTAATTATGGAAAAAGTTTACCTGTTAAGCAATACATCAGGAAAAAGAAAAGGAAAAAGTTAATTCACTAAGTCACATAGGTTAACAGTGAAACTTAAAAGTAAGACTTCCGCTTATGCATTTAAATTATGATGCGCTTTAGTACCATATGTATGTTAATTATCCGGCTCGAGACGAGAATGCTACACTAATCACAATTAATTTTGTAAGAGAAAAGTAAATGACTTACTACGGATGATTCATGGTAATGATTTATAATTTTAATATTATCATACTCAAATTGCCACTCATGAAGTGTACTCATCTAGATAGCCTTTGCAATAATCTTTGGAGAGAGATTTAATTTCTTACTCGCTCCACATAAAGGGTAGAGCTAATACCATAAAGCAAAAGGTCATTGGTAAGTCAACTTTAACTTGTAGGCTGATATGATAGTGTGTTGGGTGACATCCTACTTTGTTTTCTATTGAGAAAATAACACATAAATGTACCAGTAAAATATAAGAGCACATTGTTATCAAAAAAAAAAAATATATAAGAGCACATAACTTTAATAAGTAGTAAGTACCAATTGTATCCAAAAGTGCACCTACTTTGCCTATGCGTTCAGGCCTCAAGCAGGAAACATATTTCCTGCAAGAATAGAATAAAATGTAAATAAGATTTATATAGTGCTATTGCATATTACTTCATAAATATGACACCTGAACACTGGCAGCCTAAAGATAGACTCTAATTAGTATTTTAAGCCAACAATATATCCCAAAATAATCAGCTTGTTGGTTCTATATCACTTTCAAGTTTGTTGGTTATTAGAACCATGAAATATTATGGTTTTATTGAAAATATTTCTTTCATGATAACAGGAAACCCTTTTGTCTCATATATTTGTCTGTTTTTTCATGTAAGTCAAAGAATAAACTACTGGAATCGTATACCTCCCATAATTTGTTGAGCATTAACTTCATTTTAGATGTGTTTACCTTTCTAGATAAACCAAGCCATTTTTCTCTAGATTGTAGATGATAATAAAATGAATGTTATATATGGGCACTTTTTCTAAACCAATGGTTTCTTTTAAGAGAAAGTTAAATTTCACCATTTCAATTTGTTGTTTTTCGACTAAAATCCATATATAATTGGTGCTACAGCAAGCAGGAATATTGGACCCTTCCTTCACCCCCACAAACAAAGATGATGAGAGCATAAACAGACACAACAATTAGAAAAAGAAGTGTAGGTTAAGAGCAAACCATCCTGTAGAATCACGACGCTCATAGTTCTTTATGGTGTCCTCCAGCTCAAGGGCTTCTAGGACAAATTTGGTATATTCACTGCAAAATAATAATATAATAATAAGAAATGTATTTAGCACTTGAAGAGAATTTGTATATACTAAAAACAAGAGTAACTCTGCTAACTTTTATGGTATGTTATGAAACAATGTCATGATAGAAATGAAGCTATTCAATTCTTTTCTAGTAAAAGATGTGCAGCTCTGTGATGAAATAGCAAGGCAGTCTATCATGTAAGGTGATGAATGTATAAAACAAGAGCAGAAAAAGTAAGAAAGAAAGGATCTGGAAAAAGAAAAAGAAGTTTAAAATCAACTCCATAAGATTTATAGTTTACGGAAACAACCTACACATGCATACACCACAGGCACATATATATATACACAAGGCTAACTGATTAACCAATATTTTCCAAACCATATTGAATTTAAATATCAAAATGTCATGCTGTTTTAAGTAGTACAATAAAAAAGGCAGAGCAGGGAAAAGCATTTTATCAAAGAAACAATTACTCCTTTAAGAACCTTTTGCATATAGCCAACCAGGCAGAAGCTGATCATCCAATGAATCCTTGATTTTGATAGATTTTATGATTAATGTCAAAGGCTCTTGCATAAGGGACGTGTTAAAAATATAATATAAAAATCATTCATGTTTCTTCATCTAACAACTTAAATCACCAACTTCTTACAGATTACATCAGTGTCTACCTTCTATATCGATAATATTGCTCCTGAGCTCTTTTAAGACGACGTCTTAGTGCTGCCATAGATTTCAAATCTGTATCATAATCCATGTCACTTTCTCCTAGTCTCCCACCCTGTGGTTTGAAGGATGGGTCTTCTTTCAACTAGAAAAACCAATGTTATTTAAACACCTACCAATAGAACATTTAGATTCAAAACACCTATATGTATGCAATTATAGACTTTACCATATGAAGCAACATTTTGTCAATTATATTCATGTAGGGTCTCAAAGAATCCCGCTTGGACATCTGCTTTGATGTTGCTTGTGTGATCTGACAATGGCACACCATCAAAAATCATATCTGCAAGGAATAAAGGATAAAAAGAAAGCATGTCTTTTTATCATTACAATGCAGATTTTATCTGATCCACTAATACGTACACCAATTTCAGAATAAAATGATTCATAAAATCTCAGTACATGGATGAGATACCCATTAGAATATTGGAAAAGTAAATGTAATTTATCAAGATGGAAGAATAGTGAGAATTGTTTGTCTTATATCATTACATGTTACTTTTTATTTATTTATTTTGTTTTTAATTTTTGTTTTATTTCATTCCAGCAGAGAGAAATACTTGAAATTACATAACAACTTCATTATGCTTAAGGATTACATGTGCATCCACTTCCAGAGCAAGATACACCAAGAGTTGAAAGAAAGAGAAAAAAAAAAACTTCTCAAAAATGCAAATTCAACTGTTAGAAGATCATGATAAGCCAATGGTATGAATAACTTACAACAATAGCATTTGAAAAATCTTGATGAGCATCATCTAATTTGACGGCCATTTTTGCAACTTTGTGGGAAAGAAATTTTTGCTGAATGGTCCAATCTGCATTTAACCAAATTCCCTTTGGAATTTCACTCAAACCAAATCCAAGTAGAAATGCACCGGTAACCAGTCCAAATGTATTAGAGCAAGCCATGGCAAAACCCATAATATTACCACTCCTGCAAATTATTAAGCATATAATTAGATAGGGTGGGTTATCTTGCAATAATTAGTAGTATACTGAAAGTGTGCAACTTAGCTGCGAAATTGATTGCAAAATCAATTAGCACATAACAAAAGAAGGAATTGAGTTGTTGTGGAGTTAGAACTAGTTTGTATCCCTGAAGGGTTGAAGTATCTTGATGTATAGGTATTCAAAGAAACAATGGTATGGACCGAAAGAGTCATTGTGAAGGCTCTCTCAAGTAGGGCTGAGAGAGACGGAAGTGTAAGGGCACGGTGGCTCTAAAATCCAAATAGCTCATGGAAGTAATAGATGCAAAATGCCTCTCCAATGAGAGAAGAAAGATTTATATACGTGGGAGATATTACCTAATGATACGAGAGAGAGAAGGTTTATATACGTGAGAGATATTACCTGATGATACGAGAGAGAGAGTCTAACCGTTTTTGCCTATTATCTCACTGCTGTGAGTGAGGACGCGCACCACTACACGTACGTGTGGTGAGCTGTGCATAAGAATAATAAATCCTTTACAGAGAGGTCTAAGTGCTTATTGTAGGGAGGCAGGGGAATGACCCCTTAATATGCCGGCGCATATACATTGGATTGTGAAGGCTGGTCCAGAATAAGAATTACATGTAATGATGCAAGTAAATAAATGAAAAGTAATACAAAATCTAAGAGTAAGAAAAAAACATACCAATAATCTTTGTGTAAAACAACTAGTAATATCAATCCAAAGAGTGCTACAGAACCAAGAGACAGATAGAAAACAAGGTTTCCATGTAAGCTGGTCCTCAATCTCGCTTTCACTGTGAAGTCTCCAGCATCTTCATAACCCTGAATAGTGGGAACCACAGCCCTGCTTAGAGAAATAATTTAATACAAAGCTATGAGTGTGTATTTCTATTGACCTAGCTTCCACAAATATCCTAGTTGATTCCCACCAGAGGTATAGCATAATTAAAGGGAAGCAAATAAAAGATCACACCAATATCCTACACAACTTCATATCAATTAGGACAACTTATAAAAAAATTGAAATATTGTCAATTGCAAAAGTAGTTGAAATATTCTAAATGCTTAGAGTCTTGTAGCTGCTGCTGCTTCTTTCTCTGTTTGTGTTTATTTAACATGTTACAAATAATAAGGGATAATTAACGTGGGGTAGCATAAAAAACAATTTGAATATGTGAAGAGGACTTGATGGAAGCATATATTCCAAACATCATACATATTTTTATTAAAGGGAAGCAGCTTACCATGTAAGTAAGAAGGTACTCCAGTATGACAAACTCCATAAGAAGGAAATCGCTCCATTTTCGTGACCATTTAATGTCTAGTCAATGAAGGGAAATGACATATGTTATTCATTAACTCACGAATGTATAACTATTTATTTTCCATAAAGAACCAACAGACAAAACCAGAAACATGCAAATAAACACAAAAAAAGTTGTGAACTGGGGAACTAGTTATGGAAATACCGTCCATATGTCAGCAGGGACAAGGATGATGATGGAGAGGGAGCAGAACCAGGTATATGCAACGGTGGAGAACACATATTTGGGCACATCAGGTCCAGAGAAATAACTCAAGGTAATAATCACCATGCCAATAGTCAGAGGTAATGAGAACAGATAGAACACCCACATTTTTTTGTGTGTTACACTTTCTTATGTGTCACGTTATATATGTATGTACTTTTTTCTTATACAATTTTCTCTCCTCTCTTTTCCCTATCTGAAAAACAAGACAAGGGTGAAGTAGATGTCTGAAAAACTGAAAAAGAGAATTTTATGTTAGCGTTTAACTTGAAGAACAAGGAGAACCGGTCAACAGTACCCTTTTTTTGGCTCTTTACTACCTCATTTAGCATATAGTTCACCCAGGTGTCATCTCATTTGTAAATGATATACGGGTCTTGCCGAATAATTCATGTTTTTAAATTGCAAGTTAATAAATATATACTAACTTAATTTTAAATATATAAAACCAAATCTATAATTCAATTGCTGCATTTTATTAGCATTGACTTATCATATCATATTCACGATAAATTAACAACTCTAACAAAATATATACGTTTATTTTTCTTAGTTATATTAATCAAAATTTCATGGCCAATAATTTTGTTCAATTCAACCTGGAGTCTAGCTAAGAAAAAAAAAAGATGTTACTAATGAATCAGTTATTATATAACTTCCCTAGTATAAAACCAACCGGCATATGGAATTTTCAAATTAATGGCTAAAATTCATCATGTGATATTAAACTTGAGAAAATCCAATCCGGGAATGATAAAATCACTTGGGCCTTGGTAGAAAGCTTTAGTATAAAGTTTTTCTTTGATATTTTTTTCCCCTTGACATGGATAAATCAGCGTTTGTACAATACATCTTAGTTAAAAAATCAAAAGAACGATCCTCCTCGATACCGTAAGTTTAAAGTCTTAATTTTGGGACTCGTCTCAAATTAAAATAGTCGCAAAGCGATACAATGATTGAAATATCTTAAAAAAAAAAAAATCAATAGAAAAATTCACCCTAATTTTGGTTAGTTTCGCTGAGACACTGATCCCGATAGCAAGTCGAATGCACTCCTCTAGAACAAGTTCATTCAAGCTCATCACTGTAAAAAAACAGTTTGGAATATCAGATAATATTGAATACGATAGAGTTAGTTATTATATCCAACTTTTTATAATGTTTACCGTAAGCAAGAAAAGTAGAAGCTTATACATTTGAGAATTTTTATTTTATAATTTACACATAGCTACTGGCCGGAGTTCATTTAATTAGTAAATAAAAAAGCATTTCGCTCTTTAACTCCATTACAAGGATAGCTGCAAAATTTTACACCTAATATGGTAAATCCAACCAAACGGTGGTAGCTCAGTTGGCGCATAAAAGCTAAGCAGGTGGGAATGAGAGCATGTGTTTGAATCTCCCTAGTACCGCCTTTGGGAGGGGTTTAAAGCCTTAATCCTGGACCCGCTCTGAATCGATTAGTTGCGAAGCAATGAACCGATTGGAATATTTCCAAAAAAAAAATGGTAAATCCAATTTTCATTGTACTAATTTGTAAAATTTCTTCGGGAATGTAAAAGAATCACCAGCAGAGATTTAGTTTTCCGAGAATGCAATTGTCTCATCATTAGCAAGTGTTCTGATTTCAAACAAAATTCCTAGCAGCAAATGCTGCCTTTCTATTAATGCTAACAATAAAGTTAGAGTGGGTCCCCTAGGTATTGGAACCAGCTCCTGACCTGTTCTGATTGATGTGGTAAACTTGCTCCTCAAAACTCTAGATTGGTATCAGTATCATACAGTTTCTTCAAGCTCATTTGGCCAAGCGAAGGGGAAGATAATGAAAACTGTTTCAAAACTATGCACAAAAAGTGTTCATGACCCAAAACATTACTCTTGCACCACACAGGCTTGCATCCTTGATCCTCTAAAGCCAATCTTCAACTGAATATTGGTCTTGATGTAAATGTTGTATTAACCATTCTAGCCAGTACAAGTCCAGAAGCCAGTGCAACTCCAAACAAAGCATGCAACCTCACACAGAAGTACTTAGCCATGAAAATTTTGTTTTTGTCCTGTCAGAATATAACTAAAGGTTTAATAGAAAACTTGAGGTAATATACTAGGGTAACAAAGACTCATCAACAATCTTTCACTTGCCTTGTGATTGTCTTGGACAAATCTAATTACCAGGTTTCCCATCGGCAAGGTCAATGCAGAAAGGAACTAGTACGAACATATTTATAAACAAAAAAGAATAAATCATAAGTGTGTGGTCCAGAACAGCAACTATACCCGTAAAGAAGGGAAGAAATCAGAAATAAGATGCATAAAGTTGGTTGTGTCTAGAATTGCATACAATACAAGTGAGAGGAAGTGCCTTGCTTAGACCAAAAGCAACCAAAAGAGTATAGAGCATCAAGACTGCCACTTTCACTACCTCTGCACCTCTTTGAGTGCCAAGCCTAACCTGAAAGAGAAATGGGAAATAAATAGCATAGGTAGATTCACATCATTGACATAGTTAACAAAAAATGTTCAATAAAACAAAGTGCATCTACCAAAGGTGACATTTTCCCAACTTCCTTGTCTCCTTCAACCTGTTGATATGCATAAAAAAGTCACCTACTTGAAGTTACTCATAATCAGAATTTAGAATTTAAAATTCAGAAATGAAACTACCTGATGGAAATGACTGCAAAACAGGATGAGGGAAGTTGTGAAGCCAACAAGAATTGATGCTGAAAGAACTGTTCCACCTAAGGGTAAATTGTTCATCACACTATCAAAATAATTCAGAAACAGCAATCAAGCCATAAAAAAATAAGTGACATTGTAATCAGGTAACTGAGATAACCAACCTTGCACTGCCCTGTAATAAATAAAAGGCACTTGTGGCAAAAGGACCAAATGCTGCAAAGCACAAGGGCTCTCCCAGCCCCCGGTAGCTTAACCGAAATGGTGGACACTGAAAAAGCATTCAAGAAGAGAATTTGAAAGTTAACTTATAACTCTAAATAAATGTCCAACACGATTCTGACGTGAGCAGAAAGTTCTATTCTACCTGATATATATAGCCACAAATAATTGCACAAGCAAGAAACAATATTGAACGCAGATTTCCTGCCACAAAAGCAGTCCAAGAAAGCCCACCGAAGCCAAGAGCAAGGCATAAGTAGGCCGCAATGAAGGTTCCAGTACGACTTTCCACATTCAACATAAATGAATATACAAGCCGAGTTATTCTTTCATATCAAGCACAGAAGCAAAAGAAAATGCACAAACACCAAAGACAAGTTTGAGAGAAACTCACCTACCAACCAGGTTTACAACTGATTCCTTTTTGTTCTTGTCAACTCCAGTGTCAAAATCATAAACATCATTGCTGCCACAGCAACATACAAGAAATTACTTAAGAAAAATTAATATAATCCTTTTAAGAACATTGGGTATGCTTGATAAGAGTGATGCATGAGAGGAATGAAAGGGGAGGTGGAGTGAAAATTGGTGATGCATGTAATTAAGAGCTTGAATCTTTTTCCTTGCGTGGGTTGGTAACGTTGATCACAAAAATGAAAATAATACCTAGCAAACAATGAGTTAGATATTATTTTCTGATCATTGATAGCTTTAGAATTAGTGTTTCAAGGATAAGAATTTCATTAAATGGTTAAAGAATTATGGAAGACTTTTGGATAATGTCCAGGTTATTACAAGTTTAAACGGGTACCAAACCTGTGATTTGAAGGATGAAGTTTATGCTTGACAGAAAGTTATGGTTACCAATAGTTCTAGTGATAAAGGAGTTACTACTAGAATGCATTTTCAATATATTTGAGAAAATAATTTATAAATAGAGAGCTCTTGTGGTGTTGAACAATCATTAACTTCTATTTTATGTTCACTCACTCAATCCCTCAAGCAGTATTAACACTAACCTTAAATTGAGCCAGGTAATAACAAGAACTGAAGAAGCCAAGAGGACAAAATAACATCTAGCTGAGAAGATGCCTGTCTGCAAATAAGCTGCTGCACTGCCTACCTACTTGTGGAAACCAAGGAATAATTTAGAGATGCTCTCACACATGTTGGTAATGATATAAAAACAAAACCATGAGACTGGTGCATTGACTAAATGACACGAATTCCCCAATGGAAAAATACTAATAGCTATGGCAATGAGTTCAACATTAAGATAGGAATGGAAGGGATGACCACTTGAGGAAAATCCTCTCAAGAAAATATGCTTCAAAATATAGTGCCTTCCTTCCATATATCTCTTGTTAGGCTTCTTCCGGAGGTAATCAGAAACCTCAGGTTATTATGTCACTAGGGAAAAACTTTGAGTTAGCCCTCATTTGTGCTGATATTATTTGTAATGCGGTCGTTTCAACTCAAAAGTTTAAGTTATTAAGTGAATGACACGTTAATAGTTTTATATATTATATCTCTAACATTATTCTCAACGCATCCACATATTGTACACAATTTGAGTTGGCAGTAACATATTATCTCATACTCAAGCATCACAGAAACCTAGTTAGTTATGCCCAACTTAACAAACTACCATAATGATATAAAGTTTTAGATGCTCACAGTGAGAGGAACGAAAGCAACAGAGTAAATTGGCAACTTTATTGCCCTCCAAATCAATGTTTTCATTGAAATATGCTCCTGAATTTCCTCTCCAACATCTTCAAAGCTAGAAGAGGATAACTTCTCTCCTCTTGCACAAGGCACATGCAGGTATTGGTTCCTTCTTTTAACTTGCAACTGTCCTCTATATCTCCTATGGAAGACTTTTTCAACGCTACATGTTGACCTTTTGGAACCTTGATGGCACCTGAAAATTAACCAACATGTTCTCTTCAAACACAGTTTTACATAAACAACTCTCATTCATTTATTCAACTTTTCATTTTTCCATTTTTGTCTCTGCCTTTTGATGAAAATGGAAGAGGGAACTTGCCTTTTGAAGTAGCTCTGCATCTGTAGGTACTCATTGAGTTTCTTGAAACCAGAAGCTTGGGTCAGGTTACAGCACATGGCAGCCATTGAGATTATTGCACTCCCAGTCCCAAACTCTTCTTCATCACCTTTTGTACCTCTATGAGTGAATAGAAAAGTGATAAATAACTGAAACTGAAGGAACAAGAGAAGTCTGAAGAATCAAAGTTGAAGATGTAACACTTCCATTTCCATAAATTCACTTTCCATATCCTTGAATGGAGAAATCCTATCTCATCACAATCCATACATGGACCACTAGAACACTGCCATCTAAGATTACTTAGTGTGGCCCCACTCTGATAAATAACAAGCAAGTCATTATATAGTAGTAAAACTTTGGTTCCCCAAACTTTATTTCTCATAAGCCCCTGAAGTGAATATATTAAAAAACTTAATAACTCTCTTGATATTTTATTAACATGAAGTTTAAGAAGTATTAATATCATAAAAGTTAAATGCTTTCGTTGTCTGATTGCAAGAGAAAAGAATTGCAACAGGACTAGCATGTAGCTAACTATATATTTGAAATTATATAGAAAAAAAAATGGTAAACCTGAATCAAAATTAAATTCAACTCAGTAATTTGATATTAATTTATTGTTTACATAAGTACTTTGTTTAACTGATCATTATATTGTTTTATTTTTTAATACATTTATTTTAGACCCTCGTTTTATTTTTTGTATTTAATAAATATAAACTATTTTATCAAATAATGCAAACACGACTCCATCGCTCACACTTTGAATTTTCAACATTTTCTCTTTTTAAGTATGAGTCCCAGTATAAAATATAAAAATATCACATTAGTTAATCGGGGCATGTTATATTTACAAATTTTTTTGTTTACAAACTCTTACAAACTACACTAAGTACGACCGGTCATACTTTAATCATGCAGTGTACCACCGGTCGTACTTAGTGTAATTTGTAAAAAAAAATTGTAAATAGATCATATCCCTTAATTAATCATATAAATAAAAAAAGCTCATATATACACTTTAGGATTTTTATTCAAGAGGAAGTATAAAATTTACTACTACAATTTGGTAATTAACACATTTAAACAAAAGGTTATATTATCCCATGTTACATAAGAGAAACCAATTTTCTACATACACAAAAGAGAGGTGGATCTCACCTTTATTTTTTCTCTCCCCTCTTATATGTGAGTCCTACTTATAATTTTGTTTTTAGTACATGAGAGAAATTTTTTCCTACAACATAAGAAAACTATTTTCCTTAATCAAATCTCCCTTACTTTTGAAGTGGGTGTTAAGTTAGATGTGTTAATTCTTCCGGTAGGAATTAGTTCACACTTGCAATTGCACTTTTTGGCACAAAAAGTAACTCGCTTTAATGCATAAGTTAGTCAATTTAATCTTCTTTTTTTGTCTCTAATCAAGTAAATTTGAAAGGGAAAGACTAAATGGACATTATGTTGTCATTGCATATATCATATTATCATTGGACAGCCTTATCTGTTATTCCATACTTGTTATTGATATCACGGATTCCCTGAGCAGTTGTCTATCATGTTATTGCACTTCAACCCGGTTGTCAACACTTTCTGTACTTTACTTTTGTGCTTTTTGTTTCTGTAATGTTGGTAGATGATTGTTTGTAAAGCATTGTTTTGAAAAATAATTTTTTAAATATTAATTTTCTCTAATTTTTAAAATTAAAAGTTAAGAATAATTTAGGGATGTTTTCAAAAATTATAATTTTTTAATTATAATGTTTTTGCGGTGGTAATTTTATAATTATGAAGATTTGTCAATGGTATTTTTTTAAATTAATTCAGTTTTTTAATTTTAAATAACTTCACGATAGTAATCTTGTAATTATGAAAATTTATTAATGATATTTTTGTAAATATTTACAATTTCATTATAATTTTAAATCCAATCATATTCAAACAAATTTTATTATTCTCCTACTTTCAAAGGTTTATATATGGTATTTGAAAGGCTAAAGGAGGTGACAATTTGGGTTGATATAACAGAACACATACAACACAAATTTAATATTACTATGAATACACTTAACATTAACAATTAACAGGAGACAAATTTAAAAATGGGTCAAAAATTTCAACACGAACATGATCGACTTATTTTGTGAGTAGATACTACACAACACGAATAACCTGTCAAACTTAAAGTATGTCGTTTTTATATGGATTGACATAACACGACATGACAATAATTTTTTTATGTCAATTTTCATCAACACAAACATAACACAAATTTAAAAATAGATTAACTCAAATACGAATTTTTCGTGTTATGTCAGCGGATCATCCCCATTTGATCAAGATAAGAAGCGTTTGAAATGGCCACTGCGAGTGAAATATAATACACACATACACACATATATATATATACACTTTTATGATTAAATCATTAAATTTTATTATAACAAAAGTAAATTGTATATTTTTTTCTTGGTAATCTAAGTGAAAATTTAAACTAATAGTTCAGAATTTTATTTGTTTATTATAAAGTTATGTGAAAAATAATTGTATGTAATCAACTTTATATTATATGATTTGATATTATTGTTTTAAGATCAAAATTAATAGATCAAAATATGTCTACCAAAAAAAATTTAATAGATCAAAATATAATATATTGAATTGGATAAAATATAATCAACACCATGTTTTCTATATAACTTTGTGCAAGGACGAGTTTTTTTTTTTTTTTTTTTTGAGTAAAGTATACTTTGGTCCTTAACAAGTATCACGGGTCCAATTTAATCCCTTAGAAAGTCGACTCGTGGTCTCTCTAAAATTCAACATAAACCTATATTAGTCTTTTTGAGAGATTAACGTGAGTTTTATTTGAATTTCAGAGATACTACAATTTCGATTAACTGAGTCTATTTTAAATTTCATATGGATCACGGGTCAATTTTTTTTCCTAAGAAATTATAATGGATCCTGTGATTTTTGTTAAGAACACAAAATGTACTTTATTTTTTTTAAATAAAATAAATTTTAAAATTCTAATGGCCCATTGATTGACACTAGCGGAAAGGGTTGTACGAGAATTTTAGCCCATGTGAACTTTTGTTGTTTAGGACTTTTTAACCCTATGAGTTTCTTAGCTCTGGCCCATAATGGGGTGAGTTATTCCATTTTGACAACTCTAGATTTTATTGGCAGCCCACAAATCTTCCCAAAGCCTTTTGAAGATTGGAGATACGCTTTATATTATATTTTCATCCACAAGAATGCCTACGAAGGCAATAAATTTTTGGTGCTACTGTTGTATCAAGATTCAGTCCATTCCACTAATAAAAGCATTACACATCAGAAAAACGTCATCATTAACATTGCGCTAACATGTGCCTCCAACCATAACCAACCACAGAATAAATATCCTAATAAACTAGTGATCCAGTGCTTTTGCCATAATATTAAGGGAATATGATTGGTACACAAGCCAATTTCTATACTAAAATTAGGTAGTCTTTTTTTTTTTCTTCTTCTAGGAATTATAGTTTAAGAAGTTGTCAAATATTTATTCACTATTAATTATATTTCATGGACTTTAAACATTTATATATTGTGAGAATCAACAATAATTAAACGTTTGATAAGTCAACAAGGGAGTGGCTATACCGAGCAAATCAACATGGTAATGTAGCAAGTTCATTTGAAATAACTAGATGAACAAGTTCTCATTTGTAACTGTCCATTTTTATAGGTAACGGATGACTCCGTGTAAAGAATAAATGTGTGCGGGTAACCTATGTAGCATCGACTTGACACGCGACACGTGACACGATACCACACGATACTTCGATACGTCAATTCTAAAAAAATATGAATTTCGACACGTTGAAACACGTTTTAATATTAAATAATATAATTTAATAAAAAAATAAAACTAAACTAATAAAAAAGAAACATTTTGCATTGTTTCCTTTATACATCAAATAAAGAAACAATATCGTAATGTATTATTCAATTTCATCCTATTAGTCTACTGATTAAGTGTACTAAAATAAAATTAATTAATATCATGTCATTGTCAACTTGGTCATTTCAAGTTAAAAAGCTGTGCTATTGATGCCAAAACTTTGAGTCTAGTCGTCTGCCATTAGTTTTCAAAACAAAAAGTTGTCTGCCATTATTAGTTTATTAAAAAAATAGTAAATGACAAAAAAAAACAACCAGTAAATGGCGAAACGAAACAGGAAAACACCAATAAATGCCCAAACCAGTGAGACGCGAGCGAGAGAGGCGATAATAAGGAAAGGAGAAAGAGGTAGGCGATAAAGATGCAAGCGAAACGGATGGATGGCAGAGAGAGACAAACGATCTGCACTTTAGGTTAGTTTCCGTTTTTATTAAATGTTATTTCTTTTTTAATAATGTTTAATTTTATTAATATATTTTATTTTTAAAAAATATTATGTTTTTTATGAAAATGTCATTTGACCGTGTCAAACACAGTCAAATTCGCGTGTCGAAATGGTCAACGTGTCGGTAAAGTTGACCACGTGTCGGAGTGTGTCGGCGTGTCGGACCGTGTCGGACACGACTCTCCCTGTTTTTACAAGTGTCTGTGCTTTCTTGCCGCTAACAGTAGTATCCCTTTTCTCTATTGTCAGTGTTGTTTGAGTTGGAATCTATTTTGCACAATGTTGAGTGTCTGGGACGTGCCATGTACATCTTTAGCCGTTGTGCATCCAATGAATATGTATTTTGTACCATTCCAAGCTCAAGTCTTTACTCTTGTCGTGCCTCTATAAACTGAAGGAAATGATAAAATCTAAAAAAGACAGAAGCATCTCTTCCCCGAAAGAAGTTATCGTTGTTTAAATCGCCACACCTTCTTGTCATGCATTATAGAATAAATAAATAAAAAGCTCTATATATTGCCCATAGGAAAAGCTTGGAGAGATCATACATATACATAGAGCACAAAAATATTATTCACATAGAACTCAAAATTGAGCATGACTACCCTTCTCTGTCCAGGTGTTAAACCTAAGGCTTTGCAAGATAATTGTTGGTAGTAAATTTTCGAAGATAAATTTATCGTTCTCAGGGAACAGAGGTTGAATGATTTTTCTTTGTATTTTTCTGAAATAAGGATTCTTGAATTGAAACTTAATTGTTTTTATAACAAGAAAAGTTTTTATAGTTTTTATCAATTATT